TTACGATGTCTAAAGTTACTGATAAGTCACATGTTTCCTGCCTGGCCTTGCCCGTGTATCATTACCCTCTCTCGTCTGGGCGCTAAGAGAGGAGCCCTCAACCAGTGCAGCAGCAGCCACTAGCAGCTGACTGTTGCTATCTGTAAACTATGGCTCCGAAACATAATTTAAGCCAAGCAGCGTCGTCAAATCTGATATCACCTGGCGCCTTGTCAGCGCATTGAATGTTTACGTTTGACAGGCAGCTTTTCAGTTACGATCGTTAACATCAGTGGGCCAAAGCAAATGATGGTGAGAAGCTAAACTATCTATTAATTATGTCAATTACAGGGAGTGTGATTGTAACTGTGTGTGTGACTAGCTGGATGCAAAGAGGTAAACACTGTCTTTTGTTTCCCATGCTTGCTCTTCAAACAGCCGGGGACAGATACTATGTGCCCGTGCTAAATAAACACACACACACACACACACACACACACACACACATATTATTGTAGTTGAGTTTTGACAGAATCCATCAAACTAGATGTTTTGCCTTAATGGTCTGTTTTCTAATATTTCTGTGTTTCTGAACCACGTCGTGTCTGCATATAATGTTTGTATTTAGTCTCCTCAGGGTTCCCGCGGGGTCTTAAAAAGTCTTACATTTGATAATCTGAATGTAAGGCCTTAAAAAGGTCTTAAATATGACCAAAACAAATAAGAAAGGTCTTAAATATGATTTAGAAGGTCTTAAAAATGATCGGATTTGAAAGGTACTTCTGTGTTGCGATAGCGTCTAAATGTGTTTTGGGGAAAATGTCCGGGCTGCAAAGTAACCAGTACGGTAATAGCCTTTCAGTTCCCCCCAACAATTTGTATTGAATTAAATCAACATGGAACCAGTAATCACTAACTTTGTTTCCCCTGGCCCCTTATTGGAGAACACCCAGCTAGTAACCTAGCAACAAAGCTTCAGCTTGCGGCAGTCAGAAACTCATGTATCTTCGAATCTACTTACAAATTAATATGGAGAAGTGTCAGTTCAACCGTATTTGGTTGGAAAACATCTAATTTAGTGCTTGATTGAAACCAGTGGAGGGGAACGTGTTTGAAGCCCGCCGCACCATTTGCAAAAGAAATAAGCGTTTGTTTTGCTAATGTAGCGTTAGCTAGTGGAGCGTTAGCTAGTGCAGCAGCTCCCGCTCCCGGGACCTCCGGACGACGTTTGGGTCTACGTTAACCCTAAAAGCGGAGGTGCTGTAGACGCTAAATACCGTAGCTAAACACCAATCATACAACAGCAACGATGAAATAGTGTAGCCAATTTAATTTAAGGGGTAATTTCTCAAAATGTTCCCCGTGTTGTTTATTCACCATTACAATAGCCCCACCTAAAATAATTTCCACCAGCCGCCACTGGAACTTGGAGCAGGGTCTGGGGCCCAGACCCTGCTCCGAGTTCCACTCTCCACAGTCTGGTCAAACACTGAACCCTGGATCAGGCTGGCTGTCAGCAGGGTTATGGCTAGAAATGATCCGTCTTGTGTAAAACTCTCGCGAGAGTTTGGCTGAATGTCACGTGGCTGAATGTTTACGTTTGGCAGGCAGCCTTTCAGTTACGATCGTTAACATCAGTTGGCCACAGCAAATGATGGTGAGAAGCTAAACTATCTATTAATTATGTCAATGACAGGGAGTGTGATTATTGAAATAGGGTGTTAGCGGTCTTTGTTGGTGTTCAAAGAAGAATGACAACACTGTAGATCACCAACACTATGGTTTATTTTTTATTCACAGGCAAGTCAACGTTGTCGCAGTAAAAGTCCCAAGATAGCTCCTGGTGCAATAAAATGTTCCCTTGCAGTGTTTTACTATTAAGTCTGATGTTTCTCTATTAATATTGCTGCTGCATTAATGTGTATGTTGCATCATGTTACTGCTGAAGATGTGTTTCCGAGCCGCTCCGATTACAACGAGACTTACAACGAGAACGTGACGTCATATTTACACTAGACGGATCCTTTCTAGCCATAACCTGTCAGCAGGACAGAAAGGTGAGACCCCTCCCCTCGTAATTGAACTTCCTCATACCTGATGCCCTATCACACCTTTGCTGAGGTGAATATCTTTGGTAGGATCTAACCTAGACCCTGGTCCCTGTATCTGATTTATTTATCATTTTAGAGTTATCTTAATTAATAGTGTTCTGTTCATTTCTCCTCAGAGTAATGTTTGCTGAATGATTCTCTTTGATTTGTTTAACTCCACTCTCACTGTACCTGTCTTTCCGTCTTCAGCCATGGAGCCCAGTGAGGACCCTGACCCGAGTGAAACTGTTCTTGACACCAACGTCACCAACGTCCCCTGCTCTACCTCACAGCCCTCTTCCCCCCCCACTGAGGCCACAATGAACCTGACCTACAAGCCCCAAGCTAAACGTAAAGCCCCCGCTCCTCTGGGCAACAGTTTGACAGTCAGCAGTGGGGGGGTCACAGTCCCTGAAGCCGCTTGTAGTGACTCAGGAGGATGCCTAACCGATGGAGCTCTGAAGCCGGAGGTCCAGACCGATGAGGCTGCAGAGGAGGAGCTCCAGGCCCCTGGAGCCTCGGAGGAGCCCAGCCCAGAGCGCCTCAACAGCCTGGGCCTGGACCTGGCCTGGATGCAGGAGAGGGTCAGCCATCTTGGTGCAGCATATGCAGTTGCACAGCTGGGTTTGGGGAACACGGACACCGGCCACCCCTCTGCCTCCTTCCCCTCTCAGGGAGGGGCAGACAGTCTGGATGGCCCTCCCACCATGCTCTTCACCAGTGGTACTCATGAAATGGCTGCTTTTGCTGCCTCTTTCGGCATGGCAGCAGCAGCAGCCGCAGCTGTTGTGACTGCACCACCTCCCCCACCTCCTCCCCCTACAGCACCCTCTGCCCCCTCCACCAGCCCGAGGCGGCCATACAGGAGCGGTGTAGCTGCTGCTGCTAAAGAGCCTGTGGTGTGTGCTGTGTGCGGGCGCCTCTTCCCCAGCACAGCGGCACTGGAGCAGCACCGGCGGGTGCACACCGGAGAGAGGCCCTACACCTGCCCCCACTGTGGGAAGGGCTTTGTACAGCCAAACAACCTGCGGGTCCACCTCCTCATCCACACCGGGGAGAGGCGTTATCGCTGTACGCTGTGCGGGAAGAGTTTCATCTCCTCCAGCCACCTGAAGAGGCACCGCACCGTGCACACGCAGGAGAAACCCTACTGCTGCTCGCGCTGCGGACAGTCCTTCAGCCAGATGTGTAGCGTCCGCAGACACCGGCAGCAGTCGCAGTGCGGCCTGTAGACAGACCACCGGAGGGGGGGCTGGCATCTGGAACTGATCCTCAGACAGTTTGTGCTCTTGAGTTTGTGTTCACATGGGAAATGTAGCATCTTATGTAAGCACAAACAAAGAAGCAAGCTGTATCCTGTGATACCATGGCACCTAGATCATAGCAGTGAATTATGTTCTAAAGGCGGAGGAAAGGATTACCCTCGAAGCGATCTCCAACTTTTTCTTACTGTGTTTCAAACTGAGTGAGGTCACTGAGTAGACTGTGAAAGAGTGCCTGATACAATGTTGGTAAATATTTATCCATCAATTAGTCATTACGTTTAGTTTTTACAAAGCTCACACACATAAACTAATCCAGGAGGATGATGAACATACACACACTTTGAGCACCTGACAACTCTATAGAACTAATGAGGATGACTTTTTCAATTGTCTGAGATACATTCAAAACATATTAGGTGTTAGAAAAAAACATCTATTATTGCCTTATTTTACTGTGATTCTAAATGTTAAAAATTCAATATGAATTGTTTGGAAGACTGTTGTTTTTGCTTAACTTAGTGTCTCACACGGCAACATGAAAAATTAAAGGATGCTGAGGTGACTGGAAGAAAGGGGAGCCTGGTAGTTTAGTTAGCCTAGCTTAGTCGAAAAGGAAACCGTAATACATTGTATCAACTATAAAGCTGTCTTAGTGGCATGTTGGAATGTATGTTGTCAACATATACATACTGTAGGACGTGAAAAGAAAAAACTTTGATTTAGCTAAACAATAACAGCGGCAATTTGTGGTGCGCCACACACACAAAGACACAACAACTCAACAAGATTGAACAAACATCCGACTTACTATGATAAGCCCTAGCTTGAGATGTATTGGTGACTTGTTAGTGAATAAGATTCAACATCAAAATAAGACAGCTTTGGAGGTGTTGGGAATAGATTTTAAAACTTCTGCTTCATGGAGCTTTTTCATACCTTCATCTTAGAGAGAGTTTTTCATTTCTTGATCAGATGTTCTAATGCTTTCCCCCAAAACCCTCATATAACTCACCCTCATACAACCCCTGCCTGCAGAGGAGGTTTGCTCAGCTGCTCAAACAGCATGCTTGCAGATATATTGTTGCAGATTCCCTATATGGAGCTCCAGCCCCCTCCTCTCACTCAGGCTGCTCCTCTGAGTGCTGCCAACGTTTCAACTGAGTGCAGTGTTCCAGTTACAAAGTACATTTAGTCAAGTAATATACTGAAGTAGTATTTGTACACATTTGTACCTTACTTGAGTATTTTCATTTATTGCATACATATACTTGTACTCCACTACATTTATGAAAATGTATACATAAAAACACATGTGATGCAGTACTGTATTTTTTAATATACACAGTATTTTAAAACGTATCCAAAATTGGCTCCACATGAACAAACCACAACAACAAGAATGATCAAAAAGTAATATTCTATAACGAGCCTTTCTGCATGCAGAGTAGCCTACTTGATACAAAATATATGACTGATGATACTTCTGTATTTCTACTTAATTAGCCTTTTCAATTAAGGATTGTTACATGAAGTGGAGTATTTTATTGGTTTTGGCAAAAGCAGAAAGCTTTTCAAAAATCTGAACAAGGTCTCAAATTGATACTAAGAAAAAAGCTCCGTATTGCTTCCCTATGCCTCTAGTCTTTGTGCTAAGCTAGGCTAACCCCGCCCTGGACCCATCTGTAACCTCCACATCTTCTTTTTCTGGCTGTTGCTAAGAAACAAGTAGTATAATCTGCAAAATATCTGACTCTTCCAATTAAGCACTTTATATATTCCCCAAACTCTTCATTGAAGCAATCAGAGGCAGTGTTAATACCCTTTGTTTTCCATGATGTGTTGATCACATATAGTCCACTGTGTGACTCATATTGCTCCACTGTCCTTTCTTAGTGGCGTGTTGTTGAATGGTAAATGTACCTTCTTTTCTATGATTATGCAAATTCTTATGTCACATTGATTGTCAGTATATTTATTTGCTCTGATTTTTTTAAGAATAGAAAGGAAAATGTCATGTACTGTTATCCAGAAGATTCTAGAATTGGGCAGTGAAATAAAAAAGTTTTCATTTATTAGATACAAAGCCCAAAAGATGCAGGCTCTGAAAAAAAACTTTAATTCTACTCTTTCAACTTTTCACAGGTTGATGCCGAGGTGTAACAGTCTTTTTAATGTCAATCATCCTTTTTCTTATAAAAAAAACAAAGAACAAAGGCCTGTACAAAGATGTAAAGTAAAACATATATATATATCAGAGAGTCGTGTTTGTATGTGTAGGTGTTTGTATGTAATGGGCACTAGCTGTAGGTTCCACAGCAATCAGATATGTTGCCTTTCAGTACTCTTTCAAGACATGGTCTGGTGTTTTCAAATGTATCGGTATCATTAAACATGTAACATGTTTGCAATGAACTTGGCTTTGCTGTGGTCTGATCCCGTATAAAGAACAGGATTTCCTTGGATAAGGAAAACACAAGACACTCATCACCGAGGTCACAATATCAATCGATCCAGCAGAGCAATAGCCTATAGGCAAAACACAGAAGATCAACAAAGATATGACATCAAATGAACTTACCAAAGCTGAAGTAGATACATGGTCAACTTCATTCATTTGCTTTCCATTTTACTGATTTGAATCGCTATAAGCTGCTCTCTCTCTCATCTCCTCTTCACATCTAAACATTTCGCGGCACACGTACTTACAGCCAATGTGCGTGATAATTTTTTTGCCGCACACATTGAACAGAAAAATACTCTTGGCATGCGCAGTGTAGTTTTTACAGTACAAGTTCACTTTAGCAGCAGAGAGAGGGGCTTGCCCCACATCGCTCAACACGGCACACTGTAGACACTCATTAGAAGAACGCAGCAATGTACAGACGAATCAGATGACTAAACTATAAAAAAAAATATATATTTTAACATGTATTTTTTGTTGCATATTTTGGGAATTATTATTTGCATTACTTTCTGCTGACAAAGGTACCTGCCCCTAATGATGAGTCGCCACTGCTTACGAGTGACAAAGAACGGATGTTTGAATTTGAGTGATTTCAACCTTTACTCATCCAGGAAGAAAAACAAATGTTATATGACATCCTATCAGTCGGTTCACTTTTTTGGCAAAGTATCTAGAAATTATCAAAATAAAGACACAAATAATGGAAACATTTCAAATGTGTTTGTTTTTAGTCGTCAGGTGTCACCCTCAAAGACAAAAGCCTCATTCTACACAACTGTGCCATTAGTATCTAAGCGTGTCAGACCAGTTATCGATGTATACAGCAGGGATACTGACAGCCTTAACTGGATATCTATGTGTTGAAGAGGTAAGACCTGTGGAGATATGAACACACTTCATATTCAGGTTAGACATGTACTGCGAAAAACAACAGTGAAAAGTGTGGATAATGGGGAGTAAAAGGTGGGAAATATATTGCATTGCACCATGTATGAAACGGAAATAGAAAGCTCAATGAGAAGCAGGACATAGGTGGAACCTGAAAGAGATGCACAAAGTAAGAAGGCACTGTTTACTCACTTAGTTGTAAGGGTAAGAATAATTGAAAATATGCCTACATCCTTGAGTTATGGTAATGGTAGTGGTAAATTGGCATCTTGCTATACTTGATTTCCAATAAATCGAGAGATGAATAAGAATAATAACTGTAAATCATTTACCTAAAACATTTTTACATCTTAAAGGTCCCATGCCATTTCTACTGATCATAATTCCATTGTTGAGGTCTACTAGAATAGATTTATATTGTGCAATTTTCCAAACTCACATTGGTTTCTCATATGGATCTTAGTATGTGTATTCACTCTGCGAGACAGCGAGACACAGCGAAACCCAGCCCGAATCCAGCCCGAGCACACACCCACAGCCTGGCTGGGAGTTTGTGTATGTGCTCACACACCGACTCACAGCCTCGCCGCGTCCCGCCGTCTCAGGGAGGAGAAATCGGCGGAGCTGCAGCTGAGAAAAGATTGTGTGTGTGTGTGTGTGTGTGTGTGTGTGTGAGGAAGTAACGGCTCCGCGGACGTAACGTAACGGCTCGACGGATTGTGTCCATTTGGGTATGGGCACGTCACTGTACAAGAAAACAATGGAAAAGAGAAATCTCCAACGAGGCGTTCTGGGTCAGCATAGACAGCTCTTTTCTGTGTTAGAGTTTTACTCGCTATTGGGTGTACTTTGAGGGTTTGTGACTTTGCAGAGCGTTTACATGCATACAAACCTTCAAAACACACAAGGGGACGGGTAATAACCGGAAAAGCATGACATGGGACATTTAAAACATCCTGTTTATCTTATTCTATTTACATGTTTATAGACTCCTGCACTTACTTGGTCCCTACAACATTCTCTGCAACATTTGTATTTTTTTCTTGACATAGTTTTCATCATTCATTTCTTTTTTACTTAGTTTTATTGTTTTAGGTCTTGTAGGCTATATATAATACGTTGCTTTATAATATCTACCATGTAGCTACTGTGCATCTGGATTCCGTCCTTAAAACGATGGTTGTGCGCTCAACACAAACTGAGTTAATCAAGACAATTTCTAAATGTCTTAATTATTTATTTCTTATTAATTTATGTTTGATAATGGAATGGAATGGATCATGTCATCATATGTAAATATACTGACAGTTATTTTACTCTTATTTTTACTCAACTCCTATTTCATAGTCTTTTATTAATATTATCATAAAAAAAAAAAATTCTTGATTTTATTTATTTTTAATTTTATTAATCTGTGTGAATCTTTGCTGTCCTGTTTTTTCACGCTTAACCTGTTGCTGCTTTGTACAACGGAATTTCCCCTCGGGGATTAATAAAGGTTCATTTTATCTTATTTTATCATTCTGGTTCACACTCCAGTACAGTAGGGGGCGATAATGCACCTTAACGCTGGTTGCCAGCTGCACAAAACGAAAAAAGAAGAACAACAAAAACCCCGAAAAAACCGGAAATGACGTCATGTATTTGTGGTAGCATCTTGCCGCTTGTGTACAGAGGAGGAGAGGCTACCTTCGCTTATTTGACCAGTTCAACATTTAAATACCCTTCCACCGGAGCTGCTATGCTTTGACCAAACCCCCAACCCCTCTGCTACAGGAGTTTCCCGGTGAGTGCAGAGCCTCGGAGCAGCCCTCGAGCCCCGGCCGCAGCAGGATGTCCCGCCTGGCCTTCCAGACTCAGCTGGCCTCCATCATGGAGGTCCTCGCTAACGCAGCAGTGGCGGAGATCTGTAAGCTGGTGGACGATGACTATGCGGTTGTCAGTTTACAGATGTCGCAGTGTCAGAGGGAAAACAAAGGCCTGAAGAGGAAGCTCCACCTGCTGGAGCTGAAGATGGCCCGAGGAAACGCCGAGAGGAGGCTTCGGGAGAGCGCCATTAACAGCAGCCGCTCCAGGGTGCAGATACACGGCGAGAGGCTGCGGGAGTCCTCGCCATCATCCGGTAGGACAATTAGTCCGCAATTAAAACATGCCAGTCCTTGCATTAAAACACACACTTTTATTAAAGGTCCCATGTCATGCTTTTCCGGTTATTACCGGTTATTACCCGTCCCCTTGTGTGTTATGAAGGTTTGTACTTGAGCTGACCAATCAGAGCACATTGGGCTCACAGGGAGGGGAGGCCCCCCCCCCCAACAAGCTCCAACAAGCTCCAACAAGCCGTTTAGGACAGAGAGTGAATACACATACTATACAGAGATGCTGTATGAGAAACCAATGTGAGTTTGGAAAATTGCACAATATAAATCTATTCTAGTATACCTCAACAAGGGAATTATGATCAGTAGAAATGGCCTTGACATGGGACCTTTAAGGTTAAAAACGGCATTCTGCCGCTGAGAAATTAATCCACACTGATAACTGTTTACTACCATAATGTATCTGGATCAGGAAGACGTACGTTGTATAGTAGTTAAATTCATTAAGGTGACCCAGGAATATGCATTATTACAACTATATTGAGGCTTAAAAATATGAGAAGACTGATCAATACCTCCATAATCTTCAGTCTGGTTAGCTATGAATCTTCCAAAACTTCCAAACACCTTG